TGGCTGCTATAAATAGCAGCCCTTTTTCCTCTTGTAAAACACGCTGTGTTCATTTAATAGATTTGACTCTCTCTCTTACTTGTTTGCTCTGACTTCTCTCTAGGTTGTTCTCCGCAATAACCCCTCGGATAAGCTACCCCCGGGTACACTATCCATTAATATGCATATACATTAACACACATGAAAGATAGAATTACCAGATCCAATGTTCTAAAAGGCGCTGGGCGCTAGTCGGGCGCCAGCCCAGTGCCTAGGCGGCTAGGCGGGCGCCTAGTCGGGGACTAGTCAGAGATAAAGAAATTGCATTTTTATCTATATTTTTGCATAAATATGATAAGTAGTATTTTATTTTTGTGTGTAGAAAATACATATATACATATACATTAACAAACATGAATGATAGAATTATCACATTTAATCATACGTAGTACTATCGTATATGATAACAAATCATATATTGAGGCAAGTCAAAATGTAATATATTGAGGCAAGTCAAAATGTAACTCGCACATAGGAAGATGTAACGCATGCATAAAAAGATGTAACTCACGAATTAGAAGATGTAACTTCATATACTATCAAATGTAAACAATGGAAGCAAAGAATTTATTTGCTCAATTAATTTACATAAATAGTGAATATGTTTTGTTTTTAATATTAAGTGCATAAAAATAAATTTAAAGAAAAATCTTTTTTTCTTTGCCAAAAGAGTTTGGCAAAATGTAACTCGCACATGGTTTGATTTTGTGATGAAACTTGTATTATGAAAAATGTAACTCACGTTGATGGAGCATGTAACTTAAATGTATGCAAAATGTAACTTGTGGAGATCATTCCACATGTAACTCGCGCTTAGAAATATGTAAAACATGCATAAAAAGATGTAACTTCACACAATATCAAATGTAACTCCAGAAATTGTCAATAAACATAACTCACACATGTAGAAATGTAAATCACACATATGAAAATGTAATCTCATATTTTATCAAATGCAAATCAAAATAACCGAATAATGTCTTAAAATATAGAAACATTAATATAAAAGAGGTAATAAATATATTATAGGAAAAAGTGTGAATATGAAAAATATATTACAAATAAGTTTATAAATATAAAAAATATTTATTTTGAAGAAAAAATAATTAATTTTTGGTTGTAATGATAATTGAATAAAAAAGAAAAGAAAAAGTATATCGTAAGAACTAAGAGAGAAATAAAAAGTAATTACATTTTTTTTTTATAGGATGAAAATTTGGTGACAAAATTGTAATACGTAGTTTTCTTAATTTGTTTTGAATTAAGAAATTCCGGTTTTCTTGAATTAAAAATATCATTTTGAAACTGGCAACTTTTGATGATGAAAAACCTAAAAGTAATAAACGTAAAAGAGAGAAGAAACGTGGGTGGGATTGGGAAAGTGGGAGTGTGCGACTGAAGAGAGCGTGTTAATCGAACAAGTAGGTGCCGTATGTTTTGTTTTTTCTTAAAAACGGTACCATATTTGGGATCGGTATAGCATGCGCAAAAGAAGAAAGAGAAAAATAAAAAAATGCATCTGACCGGTGATAGCAGGTTAATTTCAGGTCAATGGACCTGTTTAGTTGTTTGATTGATTTTTAGTGGTAAGTGTGTCTATGTGATCGTTTTTTAGTACATGAGTTTAGATAACTTTTTCACAACAGTACAAGGGCTTATGTGACCTTTTTTCCATTATATTATACCTACTCACATGACTTCATCATGTAATAAATATTACTCCGTATTAAATAATAATACTACGTAAAATTTAAGAGTATACAAGCATGTATAGTTTTTATCTTAACCTACAAGTCTACAACTAATAGTTTTTTTCATATGCGCTGTTAAAGTTGAATGTACATATATCTCTTAAAATGCAAAAAAAAAGGCAAAAAGAAAATGTTTAGCGAATCTAGAAGTCATAGGCGGCTAATTAAGCGCTCTGGGCGGACAACTACACGCCCTAGGCAACCGACTAATTCACTTAAGCGCCAAACTAATTAGTCAGAACGCCTAGACTAAAATAGAGGCGCCCGACCATCGCCTAACGCCTAGGCGGGAACTAGTGAGACGCCTATAAAATGATTTTTAAACAATGAATATACCCCCAACGCCTTTTAGAATCCATCTATGTAGCATTGTAGCAGCCATGCATTGAGGATGATCACCTTCGGTCATCAGGTTGTTGAAATCACCCATTCACCCGTAACCAATCAGGGTAAAATGGACAATGAACTAATTAAGCGCCCACAACCGATTCCATGGTTCCTTTTTTAGAATGTTTTTACTGGACTGTTTCAGTCTCAGACCTGACCAGTCCAGATCGGACTTAAATAGACTAGATCAGACCGGGTTTAAACAGATCAGACTTCTGTAGGTATAAAACACAAAGTGACCAAATATTTACCAGATCAGAGCAGACAAGACCAGACTTAAATACACCAGACTAGACCAGACTTAAACAGATCAGACTAAACCAGACCCTTAAACCTCTTCGGACATCAATAGAAGCCCTTAAGTTGTCACACTGGATCACCACATCAGGCCGTACATGAGTGTGTCCATATAGAGAGGTGATCGAGGATTACTGATTTACTGGCATCTCCACCCCCTTCACCTCAAAGCAAAGCCAATCCCTCTATGTCCACCACAAACGATCTTGTGTAACCCAACTTCCATCGATACCCTCAACCAACCCATTGTTTGTAATTGTGCAATGCAATTACGTCTCATGGCGCGCCTCAACTAATTCATGGACTATGGCGTAAAAGGCATTGCATATGACGCTGGGAGTGTGATGTACGCAATATTGCACTGAGGCGTACACAATATTGGATACGCAATAAGGCGCTCTGAGGCGTACACAATAGGAGGTCAGGGTGTAAGGGTATTATTTGGGCCCACTCGGCCCACTTTTAAATTTTTATAATTGATCTTATGATCCCTTTTTCAAACCCGTAGTTATTGATTGAATTTTTTAGTCAATCAATCTAATTAATTTAAAATTTCATATCTTAGATTTTTGTTTTTGATAAATGATTCAGAATGTTTTGGTATTCTATGATACTTTAAAGTTTGAACATGTTACTTTGCTTGGCCTCTTATGGTTTGATTTAATATAACATTTGATGACTTTTGATGAATATGTATATTTTTTATTATGTTTATATATATATATATATATATATATATGTGTGTGTGTGTGTGTGTGTATTACGCCTCAGCTATACGCCTCATTGCGCAATGAGGCTTACGCAATATGCAATATTAAAAAAACGCCACGACTACATAATTCGCAATTTCGAACCTTGCACCAACCTTTTAAAAAGAAATTCTTTAAGACCATAAAATTTACACACTTAAAGGAGAAGCCAAAAAAATGAATATATAATAAAAAAGAAGAAAGCAAAGAGTCAAAAAACATCTGTTGAAATGAAAAAAGCTGCCGGCCAACTGAAGAGGATATGATAGTACTCCGTAGAACATTGTTGACTTGCACCTGTCTCTTATATGTCACTCATCTACATCTAATGGCATAGGGAGATATTAAATTGGCCCGAGAAGAACTGAAAAGTAAGAGACAAACACATAGGAATTATATGAACTAAAAGAGAGCAAAGAGCTGCTAATAAAAACCTAAGTTCTCCTAATTCGGAATGTAAGCTACACTTCACTCCTATTGAACACCACTTTATATTAAAAAATTATTGAATCTGAAATTACTTATTTTTCAATGTTCAGAACTCTTAATTAAGATCTTAAGTTTTTTATTGCCTTCGCTTTTAAGTGGTACATATATTTTTTATAGATACGGAGTACTATAAACTCTATTTACGATGAGAAAGCCATAAAGGTGCTACTTTTTTATGATGAATTGTAATGTCAAGTTATACGACATGGTCTTACAAAGTTTTTATGTTATACTCCCTTATTGTTCCAAAAAATTGTTATTTTTCATTTTAATCAATTAATTTATGATTTCTATTATTTTTCTATCATTTGCATAAACCTCAATCATGATATTTTTACTTTACTATTCTCGTGCCGATAAAATTTGACAGATTTTTCCAGAGCAGAGCAAGTAACATACTTTTAAGGATGTGGTGTTATATACGTATAAATTGTTGTCCAAGAATGACGAATCATAAGTTTCAGGATTCCAAGGTTTAATAAAAATGATGAATCTACTACTGCAATTATGAAGATGATGATGGACAAAAAAGTTTTTAGAAATTTGTGGTTGTCAACGTGTTTTGTAAGTTTTTATGCCAAAACGTGCAAATTACTTTGCCTATGGTTGATTTTAATTTGGTCCCATTTCCAACAGGATAATGGTTGAATTTATACACCATCATAACGGCTAATCATATGAAATATTGATGTACAAACCGTCTGGATAATCTATTGATTGTCAAACAAGACGCTTGAAAGGAGGGTTGAGTCCCCAAAAACCATAAATCGGTCTCCCAGTCATATTTTGGAACATTTTAATCCGTATTTCATAGGTACCCAATCAAAATTTCTATCAAATGTGACTTGTTTAATTGTTCTGAAAAGGTTATCTCAAAATTGCTGAATACATTATACGTAGTACATTGCTTTAATATTTAAAAATAAAGTAAAACGCTGCACGGCACCAAAAACAAATTCAAGCCATTTACCTAATTAAACAATTTCAAATTTTCAAGTATACTCTATTCATATTTAAGAAAATTCAGCCTAACGAAACATTTTAATCAAGTTTTAACCTCCCCCCAATCCCCCACCGCCAAATTGGCCCTGCCAGAAAGATTTTCTTTGTTCCAGACATTTATTGTCTATAACGTTGACTTTTGTGACACATTTTTTTTATCTGTGGCCTAATTTTAGAGACAAAAACTATCAATGCAAAAGATTTTAAAAATATGTATTTAAATGTACAAAAACATAGACAACAGGGGTAGCATTTACTAGAAAAGATTGAATATTTGAATAGACGGAACTACACTAAATTATGAGCAGAAACAGAGGGATTAAAAATGCCACTTCTCCTTAAGAATACTTTATGTCACACAGTGCATTCCACCACTTTCACCACACAAACATGCCCGTGCAATGAACGTATACTTTGTATGTCTAAGAACAAAAAAAAAAGTGAAATGTGAACATGGTGTCTAGAAGACCATCTACACAAAGCATTACCTCAGCATTTTTAGATACTTTGAAGTTAAGGACTTAAATACACGTCTTTTTAATTTACACAAAGCATTACCTCAGCATTATTAATACAGGTTGTATTAATATAGCTTGCCTAATTATAACATTGATCAGCATATATTTCTTCATCAGCTTAATTATGTCCTCAACTCATCACAAAAAAGGAGCTTACTCATATCCAAACAGCTGAACAAGGAACCAATGAGTCAAAGTCATGAAATTTGCTCTAATAGCAGGACTAGGGGAACCCATACAGATACGTGGTAACAAAAAACCAATCCTGTACTAAAAGAACTCGAAATCAAGAAATTTACCATCAGGCTTCATGTCTCCACCACCACCTCCTCCTCCTACTATCCCTTTACCGCTATTCCCAATGCCAACGAGATCAATTTGTTGCCCTACTTTCAACAAGGGCAGCTCAGCTTCGACAGGTTTAGGTATCTCGGGCGGTGTGCTACAACGGATCAAAGCCCAGTTAACCCCTTCAAAGAAAGGATGTTGCTTTATCTCTGTTGCCCCTCTCTTAACCCCTAGCCGATTCTGCGGCTCTTTAACCAGTAACCCACGGATCAGATCACGAGCAGCATAACTGGTTGCGGGTGCATCTGGAAATTTCAGCTGCTGCCCGACCACATTGAAAAGAGTTGCCCGATTCCCTGAACCTTTAAATGGGGTTTTCCCGTAAAGTAACTCATGCAAGAATATTCCAAACGTCCACCAATCGACTGCACTTCCGTGGCCTTCTCCCTTAATGATTTCGGGAGCTAAATACTCGTGGGTCCCAACGAATGACATTGACCTCACTGAAGTGGGTTCCGCGACTAGCTCAGGTAGTGCCTTGCTGCACGGTAGCCCGAAATCAGATCGGGGTTTGTGGGACCGTCTCTTGCTTTTCTGAGGAAAGATCCGCGGGAGGAAGCATGCAGGTTGAATGCAGACAGAAGTGGGTTCAATACAGGAAGGCTGAACACAGAACGAAGACCCTTGCTTGGATGGATCAGAATAGGTTTTTACGAGTGTTGGTGAAACGGCACATCTTAGGGAAAGATCAAAATCTGAAAGCATGATGTGGCCATCTTCTCGGACCAAAACGTTCTCTGGTTTCAAGTCTCTGTACACAACTCCCAGCATGTGAAGGTACTCAAGTGCCAATAAAACCTCTGCTGCATAAAATCTAATGCATCAAGAAAGAAAACCAAATTAATAAAGATACTCCTAGAAGATAATGTGATATTACGGAAATGCGTCTTATCATAAAATAATTGTATGTTTAAATAAAATCATACACTTTAATCTTATCCTAATATAGTTGTAGCTATTAAAAACACGTTACACATTAAGGCGCCATACAAAAAAACCATTTTGTCTTTAATAAAAAAATTAACATCAAATGCAAACCTATAAACCCATTTATGTAGGGACATTAATATGAATAAATTTGAAAGATTAGAGAAAAAGCAGGGCTTGACTTCCTAAAACGACCATTTTGCTAAATGACAATATATTTGAAATGAAAGGAGTATAACATTCAATTGTCAGGTACAAAATCAGTATAACCTAAGGAGAAAATATTACCAAGATACCAAGGAAGCTAAAGCTAATCACATTACCCCCTGACACATTTCCTATGTGAAAAGTGAATACCACCTTGGAAAGTAATCTGACATTACCAAGGTAACAAGAGGGAACAATAAAAAAGACATACCTGGCAGCATACTCAGAGAAATGTTTTCCAGGTTGGCGTTGCCGCAAAGTATGAAGATCTCCCCCAGGACAATATTCCATCACCAAACAATAAAACCGGTCCGTTTCAAAGTGAGTGTACAAAGTTGGCAAGAACGGGTGATCCAACAGTTGCAGTATCTCCCTCTCTGTCTGAGCACGGCTCAACTTCTTCCTGCTCGCAAGTGACGCCTTATCCATCACCTTCATAGCGAAAGAACAGAAGGTCCCACACAGCTCGGAAAGATAAACGCTCCCGATGTCCCCACACCCCAGCCTCCTATGTAACTTAAAGTGATTCATCCCCAACATACCATCTCGTGCCCTAACGGCAAGAATAGCATTCCATCTCGGATCGTTCCCTTTGTGAGGCTTGTTGGCTGTTCCGGTGACATTGCTCCAGTTACTTTCATCACTTAGATCACTGCTATTACTCGCCCTGCTAATGCTTGTTTGCACACTCTCAAGTGAATCAAAGTTTCTGTCTATACTCAGCATGCCATCGCTCATCATCCCGTCACTCTTATATGTGCTTGTGCAACTATTAACAATGCTCATAGTGCAGCTACTGAGTGGGCTCACGTTCCCACTTGGAGGGAGAGAAGCATCCCAAACACATTCTCTGTCTTCAGAATCTTGTGCCAGGCTGGCTTCTGTGTTTTGTGATGGTCTCGGGACAGCGAAAAGAGAAGAGACTCTTGCCTGATCGTTGGGTTCTTCAAGAAGAGATTGGCCTCGTTTTACATTAAAGAATTTGTCTTTACTAGATGGGCTCTGGCTAATCGGTACATATACTGGTCTCATCAGGTTTGTGTCAACGGGTTCAGCTGGGTGGGTGGCCCCACGGAAGGATGAAGAATTGCTATCCTCATATGAATCGGCACTGCTCTTGAATGATGAACCAACATCCAGGGTAACATCATCATCATCTTCTTCTTCTTGACAATAAACAACCCCTTTCCATGTTTGTAGAGGTCCGCTTAAGTGAAGATCTTGAAACCCCCGCAAGTTGGGTGTGGTCACTTTGGCCTCGGTAGGTAACTGAGTGGGAAGAGGAACCACCTTAGCCTCTAATGGTAACTGTCTTGGAAGCGGTTTAGATTCAGGAATTGGTAACATGTTCATCAATTTAGCCTCTGATGGCAATTGTCTTGAAAGTAGTTTTGATTCTGGACCCCTTTGCATTTTTTACAATTAAATATCATGAAAAGAACACGTCTCGGCTGCAAAAACATCAAGAAAAGAAGATTACTCCCAAGTCCAAAACTCAGTTATACAATCACATAGAATCACATTTCAATGTAACCTTCATTGGTAAGAAAATATGCAACAATTATGGCGCTAATCATGTAAACAGCATTTAAGAACAGCAATTTGTGGATATCATAGTGACCGAAAGAAATTCTCATTACAAAAGAAATTTGCACTTTACACTATGCCCTTGTTTCATTGGGATCATTATTTTGTTGATTTATTACATTGACATGTGAAGACACATAGAAAAGGGCAGCCCGGTCGACCAAGGCATCCGCGCAAGGAGAGGGTCCGGGGAAGGGTCCCACCAAAAGTATGTATAAGGAGAGAGCCTTCCCCCATAAAATTTTGACAAAAGGCCGCTCCCAAGACTTGAACCCATGACTTCTCGGTTACACACCAACACCTTAACGGGTTCGTCAAGGCTCCCCTTCTAAATGTGAAGATGACATTATTTATAAACACATGATTTAACTAAACATATACGGAGTAGTTTTTTTCTACTAAAGTACTAACAAACACTAGCACAACGGAAATCAACCCCACTCCCCCAAATCAAAAGCCCTAAAAGTACAAGTAAAAGTAAATAGCAAGTAACATGTTTTAGCAATCAAGTAATTTTTTACAATAATCCCTACCCAAGGAAGAGGCCTAGCTGAGTACTTCACATTTTAATGGTCAAATGTGCATTATAATAATCCAGAAAACAAGAACAACTTTAAATTTGTTTTAAAAAAATGCTGTAAAAACAATTCATTAACCAGAATATCGTTATTCATATTGTTCAACACATAGAGAAGCAATACGCATCAGCAGATCCCTATTCATACGCAGCTTTGCTTTCTACCATGACTTGTATAGTTACCAAAGTATTTCATCAATAACCAGAGGTTCATTCTTAAGTTATATTCTCGAGAAGCCTATCTGCAGAATGGGATCAAACCCACACAATATCAATCACCCCTAACTGCAAAGAGAACAACTCATAGACCAAAGAGTACTCAACATGCAGCAGCCACTCCAAGGGAACGGTACCTAGATAATAATAATAAGCCTAAAGGCAGGCAAGCAAGCAACAAACGAGCAAAAAAAGGCATTCTCACGCAGGCAGAAGGAATTAAAACAAGCGGCCGCACTATTCATGAGCTTGTTAAACCCAGATCTGTGAAGGGCAACGAAAATTGAATATCTCACTGTGAATGAACCAAACATAAATTCACACCTGCGGTGTAATCTAGTCTAGTATACGGATCAAAGAACAAAGCCTCGATTCCCCGTCCAGTATTTCTGCAGAAAAGAACCAGCTGGGGTGATAAATGGGATTTAACGGAGCTGCAAGGGCCAATAGCTTAGATGGTAGGGAAGCGTGGAGGAGGAGTGAGCATATAGGGGATGGAGAGTGAGCGGAGGTGAGGAATGGCAGCTAAAGCTTATGCCGACAAGGCGGCAGAAAGAGACAGAGCGGCTTTTGCTTTATCGTCGTTTGAGGAAGGGAGGGGCTCGCCGCTCCACTACTTTAATTGCTCGCATCGGGGATCCCCCACCCCCCAATCCAAATTCTCTTTACTTTTATTGATGGAATGGAATGGAGAAGAAGATTGAAATGTCGTGGACTATTACTGTGTGTATTTGTTTTTTGCACTACCAAAAATTATTAACAATCATCATATCCACCAACCTCTTCCAAACATAAAATACTCATTCACCAACAACCGTACAAACCATTGTCATCCACTTTTGTCTTATTTTCATTTCGGTGAACAATGTTTCTTACGAGTCCCTAAATCTTTTATCATTTTAATTTAAACTGATAAATACGTAAATACATATACTCATAGTTTTTATTTTATTACTTTAAATACAAATCATAATCGGACAAATTTTATGTAACCGAAAGAGTTATGAGAAGATACTTAAAACTATTTTATTGTATAACCGATTTGATTTCCGTTAATAGGAACAAATTTGACTAGATACGTGTATGTGTTGTTCTTTGCGTACAAATAATTTTTGTCACCTTGATCAGTAATATACTTAATGCTACTAACATCTTTTTAAGTTTGGTCAGATGAATTCGAGTCCATATATCCTACAACTTCCAAGAAATTGACCTGAACAAAATATAAATCAGAATTAGTTTACGAAATCAGGGCTATTTCTATATAGATGTATTAGTACATCATTGATCAAGCAAGCTTTCAAATATTCATACATATCATGTTTACAAAAGTATCACTTAGAAAACATTATATTTTGAAACCAAATTAAAAACAACAGAGAATTCCCTAAATAGGAGTAAAAACGTTTTGAAATTCCAAAATAGGAGTATCATGTTTTTTATTCTCTAAATAGGAGTAAATTTCTACCAAGTTTGGGCATTACAAGGTTTTAAATATGGCATTTTTTCCCAAACTTGACAGATTACTCCTATTCAGGGAATAAAAACATGATACTCCTATTTTGGAATTTCAAAACGTTTTTACTCCTATTTAGGGCAAATTCTGGTGGCCGCGGGACAGAGACCCTCTTGGGGTCTTCTGGTGGCCGCGTAACAGAAACCCTCACAGGGTCTTTTGTTGGCCGCGAACAGAACCCCTTCCAGGGAGTTCTGATGGGAGGCCTTCTGAACCGTTACAGCAATTAATGCCCAACGTTCTTATCTTTTAATGCAGCGTTAAATGGACAGTTCATGGACGATTCAATGCCCAACGGACTGGTCAATGTCATCTCAATTTATATTTGAACCATCCACTCTAGGGCTGGGTCCAGAAAACCTAAAACCGAAAACCGAATCAAATTAAACCGAACCATGATCAAATAAAATTGAACCGCTAAAAACCGAAACCGAATGTAAAAAACCGAACCGTAATTGTTTGGTTCGGTTTTGGTTTTTACTCTTCAAAACCGAACCGAACCGAACAAACCGAACTATTTCAAATATGAAATTTTATTTTTTAATTTTTAAGCATTAATCCTAATATCATCAATAATCTTTGATTTTCATATGTTAGAGAAAAAATGTTTGTGTTATGTTTAGTTTAGTTTAGTTTGTAAATGCATTTACACATTCATTTCCCGTCATAATGTAGCTATATTGATCGATTATGTCTTTTATGTATGTATGTATGTTGCAATTTGTTGCATGATTATTGTTTTTACTGGTTATTAGTATTAATTAAATTTTATTTTTATGTAACTTAATTATTTTATATCGATAAAACAAATAAATATTCATCTCAACTATATATCACATAGGACGTATGTATTCATGAACTTTTTTCAAACTAGTCACAAACAATGTAAATTAAGAATGTATACACTTATATGTCTTCCGCATACTCATATAATTCAAGACATATTTATCTATTCTTATTTTTACTTCATTTATTCTAGTATGCTTGCATTTTTTATGTAAAATGTTTGATCCCTCCAACTATTATATCAATTTTAAATCAAATGACAATTTTTTAGTAAAAAACTGAAAGAACCGAAACCGAACCGAAACAAACCGAACCAATCAAACCGTGGTTCCAAGTTTTGGAGTGTAAAACCGAACCGAAACCGAACCGAACTTTTACTTTGGTTCTGTATTTGGTTTTAGGTCAAAATCGAACCGAAAGAACCAAACCCACCCCTAATCCACTCAATGGAACCCTCAACCATTGATGGTCCCATTTCACTTTTGATGGTTTTTAGTTTGAGATAGCCCGGACCAGCGAGCAACACACACGCCACATAAACCATAGACCTTTGCATTCAAAAAGAAATAGAAGAGAATTGATGTCTTACCTTGTTGACCATAAACTTGCCATAGGTACTACAACTATTGGAAAGCATGACCCAATTAGTGGATGACGCATCAACCATTCAATGGACCGTTGTGCTTGAATTCATATATATGCTCTACCTTCCTTCGTATCTCTCAAACGATTGCTTATTTGGCACTCGCTGAATTAAGTTCTCACTTCAATACATTTTCTTATTTGACAAATTATCTACATCAAAATAGTGACAAGCAGTGCAACATAGTGTCCAAGTTATCTACTTGGTGAAATCTGTGAATAGTTGTTAATTCACTCCTATGCTTGTTTCTTAATACTTGTTTATTAGAATAGTCACTCACATGGCTGTAAATGAAGTATTAAATTTCAACATGCCGGGGCGGATTAAGCCAACACTTATGTTTCATCATCACACCCGGTTTGCATCGAAAGCCTATGCATATTCTGATAGTCATTCAATCATTGATTAATCTTTGATATACTCTTACCTCTATAGTTTCAGTTGTAAACACTTTTTTATAGAGTATATATACTAGACAACCTTCTTCACTCCTCCTTCATGAAGTTCATACTGACGTGAGAGAAGAAGGTTGTTGCGCTTCAATTTTCAGTAACATGTAGCATAACCAAGGTCGAAGAGCAGCAACCAAGGTCTAAATTAATAAAAAGTTCAAATACAATAGGATATATGGTTTCTTTTAGTACTTCGGTACTAGATTCCATACATAACATGCATATTTTATTTATTTAATCAATTTTTTCTGTGCAAAAAGTGTTTATCTAAAAAAAATCGTCTTTTAACTTCTAGGCGCATATAGGCTTAGAAATTTTCACGCCTTTGGGGGTCAATTTTCAGTTGACTGCCTTTTCTACGCCTTTCTACTATGCGGAGTGTTTTTCACCACCTCATTCATAGGCAACCCCAGGCACTGTCTTTTATTGTCTTTTAAATATGGTGACTGCTCAAATACATGGATAATCTTTAGTTTTTTTTTACTGTGCATGGGGTGCGGGGAGTGGTACTCGTAAGCTTCACAGTCGTAAGATTAATACAAAGGAAAAAACTATTTGTACACATAACTTTTACACATTTTTTGTACACACCTCTAGATGCCCGAGTACACAGGCAGCTCATTCAAAAGTTGATGTGTACACAAACAATTATGTAGTGTATACAAGAAATGTGTACAAGTAGCATCAACCTAATACAAAAGAGGTTTCATTCCATGATTTCAAATTCTTGCTTGGGCCACCTGTCATTCTTTGTTTTTAAAAGAGGTCGATGTGAATTTTGAAACTTATGGGTGTGAGGGGCCGGGGCTTTGAGATCCATTAGAGTGTAAAATTTGGTTCCAAATTTTTTACCACTGTCTTTTTAATTATTAATTTTGTGGTTCTAATTATTTCTTTAGCATTCAATAAATCTCAACTATACAATTCTTTACTTTATTATTCTTCATATAAATTAAATTTGGCCAAATTTTTAAGGACATAGAAGTATTTATTAATAAAATAAATAAAAATAATATGAAAACAGATAAAATAGCCATCTTCAACAAATACCGCCAGAAAAATAATTCTAATATTACTTATTTTTATTATTGCACAATCTAACACGCAAAGTCAAGACTTACGAGTTTGGTAAAAAGTTGATTTATAGTCGAAAGAGAAATGTTGTTTGTACACGCCAAGTTGTACACAGTATTTTATACGCAGTGAATTTGACTGACGTCTAAAATGTTATGTACAACTTGGCGTGTACATGATGCATGATTGTAGTCGAAAATGAGTGAAATGCATAAACGGTAATTTAACAATTACTTGGTATTATTGTTGCCTTTCGGTATCTTAACTCTTAAATGTATCAAACCAGTATAATAATTATGCATAAATATTGCAACTTACAATACTATTCAAATTTCCAACCGAAAAATCCGGTGTGGTGGCCGGGATTTTATGCTTAACGTCCACTTTACGTTACTTTTGTCAATGTCATTATTGTGGGGTGGAGTTATGCATGGGAATATGGTTGCCACATTAGATTTTTTGCCGGAAATTTTAATAACATTGCCTATAGAAACATTATTCAAGTATTGTTATAATACTGATTGATTCATATAACAGTTAAGGTATCAAAATACAATAATAAGAATAGTTAAGATATCGTTTATGCATTTTACTCATCGAAAATACAGGTTACCAAACAGGCTCATAGAAGTAATAACAACACTGCTTCATCTTATTTTTGTTCTTGAAGTTTGAGCAAATCAACGTCGTATAAATAGCTAAGGTATTGATTTGTTTCATTTAACAATTAAGGTACCAAAATACAATAATATCAATAGTTATTATGATATCATTTATGCATTCAATCATGTTAGTAATTATTAATATTTAGAAGAAAAATACGATATTTATATTTTTAAATTTCCCATTGTTTTTTCTTGTATTTAAGAAAATTTCTGTATAGAGTTGAAATGTGTTTCTTCACGTAATCCGTTGTCGTCTCTCTCACTTTTGTGTTTGGTCTATTCACCTTATTCAATTTGGGTAATCACGCACTGATCATGCTTTGACATATGCATGTCAGTTTTATTTGTGCAGCCAGAAAAAAGGAGAGCCGCTTGATGATCAAATAAATTTTATATACTTAGCTCAACTTGTAATTTGATTTGATATATCAACTTGTCCGTTAAACTATTTAAAAGGTGATTTAATGCTTAGATGTAATCATTCTAACTTGAATTGCCAATATGTTAATCAACTTCTTAGCAGGCCAACTATATTTGTTAAACTAAGTGATAGAGTATTAATTCTAGAGAAGTGAGAGCTAGAGAGAGAAAGTGAGTAATTATATT